CAACACCTAATTCAGAGGACACATGCCCCAAATGCAGGTATCCACCAATATGCCAGCTGACGACACGCAGGAACACAAACTAGCGCCAGCCTGCCCTGGGCAGGGTCCCCACAGACCTGGGGCTGTCCTGCCAGGCCCACCTGCCCCGTGGCAGGATTCTCCCTGGAAAGCCCTCTGGGAGGGGAAACCACATGGACACGCTCTTGTCTGGCCGCGAGACTGAAGAAAAGGAAAGGCACCTACCTCTCAGGCCAGCAGTGTTGGGCCGGCGAGGACACCGGAGGCAGCTGTCGCGGTGGGTGTGGGGAGCTGACCACTTGGGCCCCTACCAGGGAGGCCGCGCCACCCTCCAGGTATCAGCCCGCCTCTCACTGAGGGCAGCCCAGGGCCAGCACTTGCTGGGTGTGCTTGCGGGGAGCAAATCCTCATTTGAGCACTGGGTTAAATTAGGAAAGCCTGGCTGGTTGTCTGAGCCGCCAGGTGGTCCACGTTCCACGGGGAGGGCTGCAGAGGGGCTGATCACTGGTAAACAGCTGACTGCTAGGAAGCTGGGCCGCAGGCAGCGGACAGGTGATCACCACAAGCAATTCATGGGAGCTAGTTAACCTGCTCTCCTTCCTGGCGGGACTGAGCCAGCAGCAGCTGGGGAGCCCAGGGATGCTCCCTGCAGGGTTCTGCTCCGCAGCTGAGCGGCAGGCCCCACCAGGGGCAGGGAACCTGGCACTACTCCTCCTGAGAGGCCTCACCTTCCGAACCCTCCACAAACCAGAGGTTTTTCAACAAAAGCTTTCTGGCTGCATTTTGAAGAGTCTACATGTGAGAACTGAGAACAGGCAGGCAAGAGGGCTGAGTGCAGACCAGGACCCAAGGCTTCTGGCCTGAGCTACAGGGCTGCGCTCTAGGCTCTTGCTGCCCACGCAGGCACGTGAGGCCCACAAGGCTCTCCAGGTGACAGGCAGGGAGAGTGGCTGGATGTTTAGCACTAGGTCCCAGGGCTACTTCCTTAGGAAATAAACAAACAGAAGCACTGTCAGAGCGAAAACTAAATGATAATTTTATTTTGTATTTTTGTTGAATTTATTGGGTTTAATAATATTATATAGGTTTCAGGTGTACAATTCCAAATACATTATCTGTATGTTGTGTTGTGTTCACCACCTTCAAGTCTCTCCTTCCATCACCATTTATCCCCTTTACCCTCTTCTATCTCCACCTCCCCCCCTTCCCCTCTGGTAATCACCATGCTGTTGTCTGTGTCTATGAGGTTTTTTTTTCCTTAATCCCTTTAACTTTTTCACCCAGCTCCCTATCCTCCCTCCCCTCTGACAGCTGTCAGTCTGGTTTCTGTATCTATCAGTCTGTTTCTATTTTGTTGTTTGTTAATTTTGTTCATTAGATTCCACATATACGTGAAATCATATGGTATTTGTCTTTCTCTGACTGGCTTATTTCACTCAGCATAATATTCTCCAGGTCCATCCATGCCATTCACAACAGTTAAGATTTCCTTCTTTTTTTACGACCAGGTAGTATTCCATTGTATAAATGTATCACAGCTTTTTTATCCACTCATCTACTGATGGGCACTTGGGCTGTTTCCAAATCTTGGCTATTGTAAATAATGCTTCAATGAACATAGGGTGCATATATTCTTTCGAATTAGTGTTTGGGGTTTCTTTGGATACATTCACAGAAGTGGAATCACTGGGTCATAAGGCAGTTCCATTTTTAGTGTGTTTTTTTTTTCCAGGAAACTCCAGACTGTTTCCCAGTCTGCATTCTCACCAACAGTGCATGAAGTTTTCCTTTTCTCCACATCCTCACCAGCACTTGTTTGTTGATTTATTAATGATAGCCATTCTGACAGGTGTGAGGTGATATCTCCTTGTGGTTGTAATTTGCATTTCTTTGATGATTAGTGATGTTGTGCATCTTTTCACATGTCTATTGGCCACCTATATGTCTGCATGTCCTCTTTGGAGAAGGGTCTATTAAGGTCCTTTGTCCATTTTTTACTCAAACTAGCCAATGCTAAACCTGTTCACCCGGCTTTGCAGATCCTGCTCACAGATACCACAGTAAATGCTGTTGCTCACAGTTTCCTGCTCCACCTGCCTCTTGTCCTGCCTAGAACTTTCTCCTGGGTCCACGCTCTCCCTGCCCCTGCACCTGTGGTGTGCAAGCTCCATTCTCTTGGGATCTGTGATAATAAAACTATCTTTTCAATGTCAGTAGTAATCTTCTGAAAGGTTTTACTTTCCATACCTAAATAATAATAAAATCTATATTTTAAACACCCTGTCTGTCTAACAGAGCAAAGAGTAAACCTTCCCTGGAGGAAAATCACATCATCTGTAGCCTCTGCATTACTCCTATATACAATGAATCACATACAACAAACAAACAAAATGAGGCAGGAAAATGTGACTTATACAGTATTCATTTAAAAATTAAGAACTAACTGATGAACAAAAATAGATCCAGAGACAGACCATCAAACCTCAGAGGGAAGGTAGGGGATGGTGGGGGTAAGGAGGAGAGATCAACCAAAGGACTTGTATGCATGCATATAAGCCTAACCAATGGACACAGACACCAGGGGGTTGGTGGTGGTGGTGGGGGGCAATGGGGGATAAGGACACATATGTAATACTTTAATCAATAAAGAAAATAAATTAAAAAAATAAATAAAAAGTAAGAACTAATTGAATGGGATTAACATCATAATGGGCACAGAAGAAAAAAGAATAAATGAAACTGAAGATAAGTCCACAGAAAATATCTCACTGAAGCACAGAGAGGAAAATTAATGGAATGCATAGGGCAGAGTGTAAGAGACACATGTGACCCAATAAAAAATTAGTAGGCATGTAATTGAAATCTTAGCACAAGGAAGAGAGATTACAGGAGAAACAATGTTTAAAGAAATAATAGCCTAAATTAAAAAAACCTGATTATTAAAACTAGTCAGTGATATTCAGTAATAAATATTTATAAACAGTGGACTAAAAGTTAATTGTGGTATATTCAGATAATAAAAAATGAATAAAATATGATTATACACAACAATAGGGATGAATTGCACACAGATAATGATGAGTGAAATACATTAAAATTTCCATTTATCTAAAGTTCAAAAATAGGCAAGATTAATCTAAAATGATAGAAGTCAGGTTAATGGTTAACCCTCTGGGAGTATTAACTAAAGTGGGATATAAAATATCTTTCTGGAGTGTTGGAAATATTTCATATCTTGATCTGGATGGTGGTTACATTCATGTGTGTACATGTGTGTATGTACATATTTGTGTGCATATACATGTATATAGTATATTTATTAGTATTTATGCTTAAGATTAGGGTGCTTAATAAATTTTGTATTTCAATAAAAACAAAACAATGAAAAATGAAAACATATTGCCTATGATGATCTAGGGTTGTGGTAGAAAAACTGCTGTGATAATACATATGGAGAAATGATATATTCTTATTGAAACAGATGGTGAGTTGAATAAATGTGATACTTCAAATAAAAGGAAGATATTGGAAAATAGACACTTCAAAATAACTTCTGGAGATGAATTAAACATTGTTGGGCTGAAGATATGTAAATGAATTAATATCTAACCTAATTTGTTGTTTCATAGATAAGCAATAATACAACTAGAAGGTAAACAAAAGCTCATTTATAACTTTACAGAGTGTTGCTTAAGATTCTAAGTGGAAAGTATGTTGAGTTTAGGAGGCTGAGAATAAAACATTGTATATTCTGGCAACGGGACGCCAAATGATTTTACCTGTGCTGTTTAAAGGGCTTGTTTTTATAAAGATAGTCCTGGAGAATATTTAGAAGTTCATAGAGTAATGAACTGAAGATTATTTTAAAACCTGAATTTGAGCAAGAATCAGCAAAAACAGGCCAAGAATCACAGTCATTTAACTCAATTAGCAGATTTGGTCAGGAGCGGTCTTTCAAAGACTTCCTTCTTTGGTCTTGTTGGCATTTGTGTATTCCAATTGAAGCTTGTTAAAGTCAAACAACCACTAATAATCTAAGGAGGATTTGGGTCTGCCCTATTTTTTTTTTCCTAGAAGTAGTTATTGCTTTAACTCCTTAACGTAGGTACAGCCATAGTATGTGGAGCCCAGTACAAAATGAAAATGCAAGGCTTCTTCAAAAATTAAAAATTTCAAGAGGGTAACAGCAGAGCACGAAACCAGGCGGGCAAGGAGGCCCTCTCAAGTGTGGGCCCTGCTTAGCCGCACGGGTCACATGGACACGGAGCTGGCTCCACTCCTTAACATGACATTCAAAACCCTCCATGACTACAGCCCTGGCAAACTCTGCAGCCTCATCACTAACCTTCTTTCCACATGTTTTACCCATAACACTCGCCTTGCAGTTCTTAAGACATTTCATGTTGGCTCATGTGCTCATTTCATTATGCATAGTGTTCATTTCCTTTCTAGAATGTTCCTCACAACCTAGTCTCTCTGATATATTCTGTTCATTTTTATCTACTGATTCCCCTGAGCCATCTATGACCTTGTGGAATCTCTATTATTATTATACAGTAAGTCCTTACTTAACATCCTTTATAGGTTCCTAACACTGTGGAGAAATGACATATAATGAAACCAATTTTGCCTTAGGCTAATTGATATAAACAAGAGTTAAGTTCCGACGGCATCTCATAGATGTTATAATAAAACAACTTTGAACCAAAGGATGTTATTTGAGAACTTACTGTACTTCATATATTTTATTGCCATTTTGTTTACTTTTTTGCCTTTTAAAATATGAGTTTATTGTCAGGAATTGTTTTATTTATATTATTGCATTGCACAAAGTGGATATTTAATACATATTTATTTGTAAATGGACAAAAGTAGAAATCAAAAGATACAAAATGGAGAAAGTTCAGCTACATTTAAAATAATACACACCATTACTTTTTTCCTATTGAAATAATGTATGACTTTTTAAAATACATGCAAAAAAAACATAAGAAGAGTGACTGGACTTAGTGTTTTCTGTTCCTCTTTATTCCCTCTTTAATTAATCTTTAAGAATTTTGATATTCAAACTGGTAAAATAATTTGATCTCATTCCTACACTCTACTTAAACCAAATATATTTTACTTACACATTTTTGTCTTTCTGTGCTAGAATTAGTGGATCTACTTCACATAAATAAGACAACAAATGAGTTATTAGGAGTAATGTTTTGGAATAAACTTTCCCCAAAGAGATTATAATATCCTGAATGAGTAAAAGAACCAATGACTGAACCCTACTAGTAGTTGGACTACTAATAATTGCTTTCCTTTATTTTTTATATGCAGAATAGTTTTTTATTGCTATTTCCATACCACATGGCCAAATTCTTTTTTGTTTCTTCACAATAATTTCCATCAACTGCTGGAAAGTTAGCAGGTATGAGCTGAAATATAAATTGCAGTTTTTCTAAAGTTTTATGCTGCCTTTTCACTCAATGAGACATTACTTTCCAGCCCCAAGGGTCAAGACCATGAATCATTTTATTTTATTTTATTTTCAGAAAAAGTAATTCATCTGAGAGGGCTGACAGTCTGGGTACTATATAAAGCTCTATTTAATAGCAGGCAAGATGAAGAAAGGAGGAGACACCATTAGCTGAGTAAAGGGTAGACTTTCTGGCCTTGACTAGAGTCTGGAAGAAAACCAAGAAACAGAGAAAGTGGAAATATAATGAGGAATAAGCACCATTCAGGCCATGGTAACCTAGAATAAGGATACTCACATAGAGAGCCTTAGTCCTTCCAGCAAGACAGTTTCAAATCATATTTATTGGGCATCCACGATTTTCAGAAGACATGGTCTCAGACCTGTTGGAGCCTAATTCCTAAGAAAACAGATGGATAGAGTGACTATTACATGATGTCTTTTCACATTTACTTCATCCTCTGTTCCAGGGTGGGGAAGATATATTGATTCTGGTTATGGTAGGTAGGAAAATACTTTTGCTTTCAAGTTATTCAAGGTAACTCTATGAGAGAATTGAGGTGGTTTTTGAAAAAAAAAGGCATTGGAGAAAATTATGACAAGCATAATATATGGCATGTGACTATGTGTTTGTTTATTTTTTAAAATCATGTTTTATTTTTCAATTATAGTTGACCTACAATGTTATGTGAGTTTCAGGTGTACAGTGCAGTCATTAGACATTATAAAACTAAGTGATCATCTGATAAATCTTGTACCCACCTGACAATATACATAGTTATTAGAATATTATTGACTATATTCCCTAAGCCTGTAGCTTACATCCCCATTACTGTTCTGTAAAAACGAATTTGTACTTCTTAATACCTTCACCTTTTCCACCCATTCCCTATACCCCCTTCCTATCTGGCAACCATCAAAATGTTCTCTGTATCTATGAGTCTGTTTCTGTTCTGTTTGTTCATTTATTTTGTTTGTTTGTAGATTTAAATGTTGATAGATATGTATTTATTACCATATTATTGTTCATATTTTTTATCTTTTTAATCTTTCCTTCTTCTTAAAGAAAAGAATTACATTTCATGTAATAGTGGTTTGGTGGTGATGAACTCCAGCTTTTTCTTATCTGGGAAGCTCTTTATCTGTTCTTCAGTTCTAAAAGATGTCTTTGCTGGGTAGAGTAATCTTGGTTGTAGCTCCTTGCTTTTCATTACTTTGAATATCTCTTGCCATTTCCTTCTAAGGAAAGTTTCTGTTGAGAAATCAGCTGAAGTCTTATGGGAGCTGCCTTGTAAGTAACTATCTGCTTTTCTCTTGCTGCTTTTGAGTCTCTCTTTGTCTTTAACCTTTTGCATTTTAATTACAACGTATCTTGGTGTGGGCCTCTTTGGGTTCATCTGTTTTGGGATTTTCTGCTTCCTGGACTTGTATGTCAATTTCCTTCACCAAGTTAGGGAAGTTTAATGTTATTATTTCTTCAAGTAGGATTTCAATTTCTGGCTCTCTCTCTTCTCCTTCTGTGCACCCCCATGATGTGAATGTTGGTACGCTTGAAGTTGTTCCCGAGGCTCCTTACACTCTTTTCATTTTTTTTGGATTCTTTTTTTCTTTGTGCTGTTCTGATTGGGTATTTTTTTTTGCTTCCTTGTGTTCCAAATCACTGATTTGGTTATTGGATTCATCTACTGTACTGTTGATTCCATGTAAATTATACTTCATTTCAGTTAGTGTGTCTTTCATTTCTGACTGGTTCTTTTTTTGTTTCCATGTCTTTTTTTATGGTGTTGAAATTCTCAATAAGTTCACTGCACATCCTTATAGTGTTTTGAACTTTCTACCTAGTAGATTTCTTGTCTCCATTTTTCTTAGTTCTTTTTCTGGAGTTTTGTTCTATCTTTCATTTGGGCCATGTTTCTCTGTATCCTCATTTTTGCAGCTTCCCTGTGTTGTTTCCAAATACAAAGTGGCCTAATGTAGTAGGTGTCCTGTAGGGCTCAGTGGCACAGCCTCTCCATTCACCCGAGCTGGGAACTCCAGATCAGCCTCCTTGTGTGGGCTGTGCACACCTTCTTGTAGTTGAGACTTGGTTGCTGTTGGCACATCAATGGGAAGGATTTACCCCCAGGCCAACTAGCTGCAAGGACTCGCAGTGACTACTGTGGAGGATCAGCTATGCAGGGACCCACCTCACAGAGCAGAATTTACTTTAGCAGGGCTCTTGTGCCTGCTGAGTCTGCCAATTGAGTATGTTGCTTGTGGAGGTGCTTTGACATAGTCTAAAGCTGTCCACTGCGTGCACTGGCTTGGGGCCTCCCAGGAGGTGCAGGCCAAAGTCAGCCACCGCCCGTGTTTTGCCCAGGCAGTGGTCGGCAAACTCATTAGTCAACAGAGCCAAATATCAACAGTACAATGATTGAAATTTCTTTTGAGAGCCAAATTTTTCAAACTTAAACTATATAGGTAGGTACATTGTTAGTAACTTAATTAGGGTACTCCTAAGGCTTAGGAAGAGCCACACTCAAGGGACCAAAGAGCCGCATGTGGCTCGCGAGCCGCAGTTTGCTGACCACGGGCCTAGGGTCACCAAGGATGAACTATAAAGCTATCTGCAGATGGCTGCTACTTCTACTATGCTTGGAGATGCCAAGGAGAGACCAAGCTGGGAACCATGATCAGCTAGTGCTAGGTCTGGGTCTACTTAGGGAGAGGTATGGAGCATGCTGAGGCCAGATACTACTTGTTTGAAAGATTTTAGGAAAGTCTGAAGCATGAGACAAGACAGGCCATTCATATAGAAAAGCCACTGGAAATACCTCTGGTGGCCAACAATTTGGTGGGGTGGGGTCTCAGGAAATCACCAGGATGGGATGAAGAGTGTGAACCAGGTAGATGGAGACTCAGCTATGATGCCCACCTGCCGGCTCTGTGGGGGGAGGGCTCAGAAAAGGAACAATGGCCTCTGCCAACACTTCTGTCTGGGAGAAAGCTGCCCTTTAGCTCTCCCTCTGATGTCAGACACTTCAGTCCCTCTCCATATATTCCTGGTGCCTTTCAAGCTGCTGCCCCAGGGCTGGAACTCAGAGGAAGTGAGTCTGAGTAAGTCTGTGAGTGGGTCCATTAAGCGGAACTGCCTGGGACTCCAGCAGCCCCGTCTCACTCAGCTATAATCCCTGCTGGTTTTTACAGCCACAAGTATGGGAACTTCTCCTCCTGTCACTGGAATCCTGGGCTGTGGAGCCTGGAGTGGAGCTGGGACCCCTCACTTTTCAGGCGGGGACCTCTGCAGCCAAGATACTCTCCCAATTTTTATCCACCACATGTGGATGTGGGACCAGCCCGTTTCGAGTCTCCATACCTCCTACCAGGCTTAATGTGGCTTCTTCTTTAAATTCCTAGTTATAGGACTTTAATTCAGCTGGATTTCAGGCAGTTCTGAATGATAGTTATTCTGTAATTTAGTTATATTTTTAAAAAAAATATATTTTATTGATTTTCCACAGAGAGAAAGGGAGAGGGATAGAGAGTTAGAAACATCGATGAGAGAGAAACATCGATCAGCTGCCTCCTGCACATCCCCCACCGGGGATGTGCCCGCAACCCAGGTACATGCCCTTGACCGGAATCGAACCTGGGGCCTTTCAGTCCGCAGGCTGACGCTCTATCCACTGAGCCAAACCAGTTTCGGCCAGTTGTGGAAAGAGGCAATTATCACATTTACCTATGCTGCCATCTTGACTGGAAGCCTCTGTGTGTGTGATTTTTTAATTTTTAAAAATATTTTTAAATTGATTTTTAGACAGAGAAGAAGGGAGAGGGAGAGAGAAACATCGATGTGAGAGGGAGACATCAATCAGCTGCCTCCTCTTGTCCCCCACGAAGGATCAAGCCCACAACCCTGGTATGAGCCCTGACCTGGAATCAAACTAGAGACCTTTTGTTGCATGGGATGATGCCCAACCAATTGAGCCACACTGGCCAGGGAAGCCTCTGTGTGTTTTTTTAAGTATAATATTTGTCTTGTGATCAATTCAAAGACTTTTCACATGTGAGCGAGTATTTGAATAGGAAGTTGAAAAAATGGTATGGAGGAAAATGATATTAACAGAAGGATAGCCTGAAAACTGACTGAGACAACTAATATTCATTCATTCATTCATTTATTCAGTCAGTCACTCATGAGACTGCCTAATGTTTGCCATGCAAAGCAATAGATTCCAATGGCCTTTGTTCCCTATTTTTTAATGAAATATCAAGAAACTAGAGCTGTATTTACCTTCAGCTCTGTAAGTCATCTCTGCTAGAATCTACAGGTTGGCAATATAAAGTTAAAATTATAGGTATAATTAAAGATATAAAAATACACTGCATATTTTATATATTTATAATACATTTTGCATAATTAGCCAATATATAATTCAATGTATATGTGTGTGTATTGAGAAATAAAAATAAAATATCTGATGAGTATTTTTATAAAGTTTTTTGTCATATCATAAGTATCTGGATGATCAATTTCCCCCTGAACTTAGGAAAATTGATTTGAAAATACAAAAGATTCCTATTATATTTAGAAATAACTATTACTGATGTGATAATGATAGTAATAATAATAGCTAACATGTATTGTGTACATACTATGTGTCAGGTACTATTCAATGAACTTAATCCATGCAACTCTGTGTTATTGTTCCTATTTTCTAGAGGAGGAAACAAGCTCAGGGTGTTTGAATCACTTGCCAGGGTCACAGAGATAGAGAGGAGCTTGGATTGAGATGTAGTCTGGCTGATTGGAGAACACAAATCCTGAACTCCCACACGTTACTGAATACACATTGTTAGAGATGTAGCAAAATATTTAATAGATGTGTAATTTCACTGGAGGATGCTGCTACTTCATTCCAATTCATCGGGAGGACTTCACAGCAGATAAATGTATCCTGTGCATTACCACACAGAAAAGTGGAAAAACACAACATATTGCATTCTTGATCTTTCCACTCTAGTCATTTAGAAATTTTACCATTTCCTTCTCTGGTCTGTGGACCATTGTTATTTTTCAGACTTACAATTCAAATTCCCACAGGAACCATATTGGGAGATTTTTCTTTTCTCTGGTAGATAGCCAGACAGCTGACAGGAAATGCTAGAAGAAAACCTAAGAATTTGAAGAAATAATTTCCCAAGTTACCTAGCATTCCTTTCATTTAATTCATTTTTTTTCTTAAACACTAATTTTTCTCTCTCTCCCTCCATGCTCCCCCTTCCCTCCAATTTAAGACCTGTAATGGGGAATTCCCCCTCTTTTTACTTCCTCAGTCTCCCTCAGACACATCTCCTTTAGTTTATCCCAAAACATTTTCTTTATTTTTATACTATTCTGAAGAAAGGAAAATTGTGCTC